AGGGTGACGGAGCCCTGGCCCAGGCTGCCCAGGGAGGTTGTGGAGTCTCCTTCTCTGGAGATATTCAAGACCCGCCTGGACAAGTTCCTGTGCAGCCTGCTGTGGGTGACCCTGCTTGGGCAGGGGGTTGGACTAGATGACCCACAGAGGTCCCTGCCAACCCCTACTATTCTGTGATTCTGTGAAGTAAGGGTCAGACACGCTACAGAGGAGTCACGTGGAACGCTAGAGGATTAAAAACCCCACTATTTCCATCAGAAGCAAAAAAAAATCTCCCGGCGCTGCGCAGAACTGAAACTAGGTTAGCGGTTTTGCACAGACAGAGGAGTCTGCTTTGGAGAAACACAGTTTAATCCTCAGGCTCATTCATTATTCACAAGGGTGGTAAAACTCCAGAGGAGGAAGGCAGGATTAATACAGAGAAAGGAATAAGCAGCTGAAAGGTTTTTAAAATTATTTATCTATTCTAAAAAGATGCTGCTCAATTCCACCCTTTAGCTATAAACGAGAAATACATGAAACTCATTCAAAGTTGGATCGTTAAGCTGAAGCACACCACCACATCAACGGTTCCCCTGCTTAATTAAACACCAGCAAGCACACCAGTTGCTGAGGTACAGACAACCATTACTTTGGCAACTTCAATCTAATATGCATGATGGTCTCCTCTCTCCACAAAAAAGGCACTTTAATTAACATTAAAGCCACAATACCTTTCGTACCGCTTTTAGTACAAAATGGTCTTCAGCTCAGCCTGGAAAGGCTCAAGTAATAAAAAGGTTTCAGAGCGCTGGGAGAAGTGAACTTTCACAGCAATACAACAGGCACGAGCAGGTGGAAGCAAAACCTCCCCCAGGAAAGGGCATGTTCTGCTGCCCTGGAGAGGAATCTGTATTTTACTTACGTTCTTGCAAGCTGTAGCAGCTAACCTGGAGCGTTGCACGGGTACCTTCTTTTAATAACCAAAGAGAGCCAAACCCTAGCGAGCATCCTCTGGCTGTGAGGTTCAGAAGAACGCAAGTTCACTCCAGTACAGCTAGCCCAAAGCACAGCTGAAAGCTCTAAGGAAAAGTACATTGCTCTGATAACGCTGAAATTCATGCAGACTACTGTCCTGCAGCCATTTTAAATTCCAAAGAAAAATGAATCAAACAAAAGGTCTCCTGTTTTTAATAAACTTTCAACATTGGCTGAATACAACAAGAAATTTCAAGCTGTTCCCTCACTGATATTAAAAGTTGCAGGAAATCTGCGTATTCCTGCCAAAAATAAGTTTTGATGAAATGTATCATCCAGCGGGGAAAGGGGAGAGGAGAGCTGCTGCTCCGCACCCCCCCTGCCCTGTTGCCCAACCTTCCAGAAAGCGACACGACGACGCCGGAAACCAATCCCCGTTATCCCGACCTCCAGCCCAGGGCCTGGGTGAGAACCAGGTTTTGGTGGCTGGCAAAACCTTGCCAACAGCCTGGAATTTCGGGAACCCTGCGGCAGCAGGATCTCTCGCCGACCCCGTAGGTAACAACTCACGGCTGGGTAGCGCTCAGCACCCAGGTTCAGGATAGTCACCTACTAATCTCTGCCTGTAGCTTACAGCATTAGAATTAAATTAACTTTTTAGCAAAGAGTATGCTGCTTATTTATATGTTCCTTTTGACCAGCTGTTACATTAAAATGGTAAAAGCATTCTGAAACGATAATTCTTTCAAGATATTCTCTGGATTTAAAAAAAAAAAAAAAAAAAGGGAGGGGGACACACCATTCCTTGGGCAGAGAGCAGAATGAACTGACTGCTTGCTACTGCCAAAGCTTTGTCAGTTCTGTGCTATAATCTTATGTTGTCTGTGTCCTGTCCGTGTCCCCCCCAAAGAAAAACACCCTGTACTTGCCCATCAGGTTTTCCCTCACGCTGATTTAACACAGCAGCTCTCCTCCAGGTTATCTCCTCTCCCCTCTTTCTTCCTCCTCGTGCTACGTGCCAGCTGCTGCCTTCGAGGGCACATCTTACAAATGCCCTCCAGAGGAGTGGGAATTTACTCGGGCACAACCGTTCCCTCCTCTCCCGTGCACGGACTTCAACTGATTCATGTTCCTTGAAGATATCCCACTCGTACTGCTTATCAGATGGAAGCAGAATGTCAAGTATTAAAGCTCAGTCCAAAATTAATTGTTTCCCTTTCCAATTCCACCCACACACTATACCACAGGCTCATGAAAAAAGCACAGCATGGCTACAAAAACCTGAATTCAGCAGCCGGCGCACATACCAGGGTAGAATATAGCAAGGAGAGCATGAATTCACAAGTACTGAAAGAGCCTCGGAGATCAAGAAAGCAACCAAGGCACTGGCAGGGAGATGCCAGAACTCTTCCGCTTCGACAAGGTGCAAATTCTCCTCTGGGGTAATAATATAAACATTGATCTCCGGCCAGAGTAAGCCACCTTCAGTTTTCTGGGGTATTAAAGTACGACCCCTTGCTGGATTTAACTTCTCCAAGAGACAAAACAGAAAAAAAAGACTGTCCCAAAGACTGTCTATCTGGATTTTTGTAAAGCCTTTGACACGGTCCCCCACAACATCCTTCTCTCTAAATTGGAGAGCCATGGATTTGATGGGTGGACCATTCGGTGGATAAGGAATTGGTTGGATGGTCACAGCCAAAGGGTAGTGGTCAACGGCTCAATGTCCAGATGGAGACCAGTGACGAGTGGAATCCCTCAGGGGTCCGTACTGGGACCAGTGCTGTTCAATATATTTATCAATGACATGGACAGCGACATTGAGTGTACCCTCAACAAGTTTGCAGATGACACCAAGCTGAGTGGTACGGTTGAGACACCAGAAGGACAGGATGCCATCCAGAGGGACCTGGACAAGCTGGAGAGGTGGGCCTGTGTGAACAGATGTGAGAACAGAGCACCTCCCAAATCCTCACCATTTTCTGAGGTAGCCTGGCAAACTTGGCTTGCTGGTAAGCCACCACGGAGAAATGTAAATTCTCCAACAAGCTGAGGAATGTTCACCATTAAAAGGAGCAGCCCAGACCAGTGCAGGAGTGTGGCCAGCAGGTCGAGGGAGGTTCTCCTTCCCCTCTACATTGCCCTGGTGAGGCCCCATCTGCAGTGCTGTGTCCAGTTCTGGGCTCCCCAGTTCAAGAAAGATGAGGAGCTACTGGAGAGAGTCCAGCGGAGGGCTATGAGGATGGTGAGGGGACTGGAGCATCTCTCCTACGAGGAGAGGCTGAGGGAGCTGGGCTTGTTCAGCCTGGAGAAGAGAAGGCTGAGAGGGGACCTTA